TTTGGCACGCAGGGCATACGCTAATTGATGAGGCCTCTGCTCCTGACCCCATTTCCATTTTCTGAAAACATAGGTTTTATGACAGGCGCCACCAAAGATGCAAACAGTTGATAGCTTTGGCATGGCTACGCAGGCTGATACCGCATGGTACCTGGGATTTACCTCTTACATAGTGATGGCTTGCTTAGTCCCTCACCTACCCAGCTTGCCCTGCTTTTGGTGAACGCCAGTTTGCCTATTTCCCACTTACCACGGGATAAAAGAAAAGATGAAAAACTGCAGCTGAGCCTGTCTACAGTAGCGGCCAGGTAGCCCTATCCTTGGAATAAGAGTGGTTGTCCTCACCTGTGAAAAGTGATTTATACCAAGGACATGAATGGAGGAACAATGCACAGCTGGAGGAAAATACTTAAATAGTGGTTCTGGTTGAAAAGCAAGGATGTACAAATGACACCATGCGTCTAGCAGAGCCTTTCCTTGTGTGCCAGCCCTCATATTTGGGGACTAAAGTAGCAGAAAAAGGTTTTGCTCTCTTGTTAATCTAAAACCAGCAGAGTGTGGAGGTGGAGTCTGTGCCTTCTTGGTACAGTTGTTTTACTGAAATGCATGAATCTATCTAAGCAGTTTGCCCATCAGAGCAGCAAGGCTGTGTAACAGCAGAGTAATAGCAGCAGGAAAACTCAGCCGGTGTTGGAAAGGCAGAGTATGACCTGGGATTTTCAGCGGTGGGGCTGGACTCAATGATTCAGGAAGCCTCCTGCAGCCATGCATCCCTGTCCTGGGATTGCAGAGGTGCCTCTGAGAAGGTAATCCAGCTACACCACAAAATCTGAGTCCCCCAGCAGACAGGTCCCAGTTCTCCTGTCCCAGGAGTTTTCAGGACTGGTTATTCAGGAAGTCTTCTCCTGTCAGAGTTCCTCTCCATCTCCAGTCATTAGCAATAGCACTTTAAATTAAGTCTTTGCCTTAAACCGAAACAACTTTCCAACAATAGACGAGGGAAAAGTAGGGACCACTATAGAATTTGAAAACTTTGGTTCCTTAGTTGTATTCCTTGATGGGTTTATGGCTCTCGGAAAGACAACGGGTTCGTTGCAGTCAGCCACTTTCAATTTTACCATTATACTTTGAAGTCAGTGACAAAGTTCCCAGTCATTTTTTTGGGACCAGGTTTGGGCTTGATATTTTGGTGTTGTTCTATTTAGTTTTCAGAAATGCACAAAACCAATTACCAAACAAGACCTGACATCTGGCTTTATTGGGGGTTATTCCTTTGGGAGGATTAGGGGAGGGGAGACAAATGGTTATGCCATTTACCACCTTCTCCCAGCAGAAGCAGGAACCTGAGCCGAAGCAGTAGCTGTGATGCACTAAATAAAACTGCACGTGGATCCCCCTCTTGAAGGCCAGGGGGTCTGATTTGCGGCGTGGCAGAGGTTCGCGCAGCCCTAGGACTGTGTAGCCCCATGTCGGTCCAGAACAGGGTTTGCACCCCTGCCCCACATCGCCGGCGGAGCCGGCCTGGCTGCTCTCCTCTCCGGCAGGATTGCCATGCTGGAACAGCACCAGGGAACACCATCAGGGATCAGGATCGGATCCATTTTATTTCCCTACCCTTTTTGTACCTTTCCTATGGATACTACTCAGATGTCAGGACCAGATATGTTCACGCTCCGTTGCTGTTTTACTCCAACAGGGTACAGACGGTTGGTAGAAATCCTTTTAGACTGAGTAGGACCTTACACTTTAGGTCCATATTTTTAAATGTGTGATTAAAACAACACAGATTTTTTTTTCTTGCTAAAATATTACCCAAAGAGCCACTTTAGCTGAAGCTACATTTTATGGTGAGATTCATTTACACATCACATCACTACACAGTGTGAGTGAGGCAACTAGGATCTGGGCCATAGTCATTTGGAATCAGAGTTTATAGTGCCTCTGATCTCACTACAACATACTCGGTTAAAAATAGCCCAATTGACATTGTAAGACCTATAAAGGCTCTGATCTAGCAAAGCACACACATCTCTGCTTAACTGTGAGGTTCTGATTAGTCCTACTTAAGATCATAAATTTTCCACCAACTTCAAAGAAAGTCCTACGCCAAAGTTCTTCCTTGTACCAGGGCCAAAACTGTTAATGGTAAAAGTAGAACGTAGTGGATTTAAAATTTGTGAAGAATTTAAAGGCTTTTAACTTCTGCCATGTTAAAGAATTTATGTGAATTAATTCCTTAAGTTATTATAAAGGAATTCAATTAATAATGGATCTGCTTTTCATTATGACGAGTAATCAAGGATAAACATCTTCTATATCAAAGCTCATCTGTTAAAAAAGATAAATTAGCTATAACGCACTTAACTACTTCCAGAACATGAAATGAACATGTATTGTTCCATTAGTTAATTTTGGATCACTAAATTAAAGACAGTTCAAAAGGAGTATAATCTCATAAGGATCTCTCTTTGTTCAGTCCGTCGTGACTTATTTCATGAGGTACAATAAATACTGTTTCTTACGGGGCTAAATGCTATTAGGGTTATAAAATGGTTTTGGTTTAGTACATTTTATGCATTAGTATGAGTTATATACCACAAGGGTAAGAATATTTTTAGCTGGTATTTGCAGATGCAGTTTTGTACTCCTGCATGTCTTGTAGGCTGTCGGGATGCTTGAGTAAGACTACCAAAAGCTCCGCAATAAAACAATAAATGCAATAAATAAACAATAAAACAACATCTGGAATGTAACCTTTTATCCATGTAACATGGATGTGTATGTCCTAGTAAATTAATCCAAGCCAGGGCACAGGCCTGTCATCATCTCTCCTGTTGAATTAGCAAGCACACCTCCTGGCATGGTTTTGGCCAGCTAGCACCCTTCAGGCAACGCCTGGACATATTTGGGATTAGGATTGGCCATCATTCATTCCCAAAGGCAGCTGTGATTTGGCTACCCTGTCCATGGCAATAAAAGGGAGTTTAGCCATCTTGATGCAGCGTGCCACACAAGTTGTCCCTGAGACCAGAGAACAGCCTTGACCTGTTTAATATAGTAGTATAGATGTAGTTCTGAGGTATAGTAAATAAAATAGGGTTTAAAACTGTAGAATTAGATTCTACCTACTGCTTAATGTAGTCCTTGTTTACTCACACACTTAGGGCTTTTTACAGCATATAGCTTAACCTCCTAAATTTAATTTACAGTGCAAAAGTACAGTGGGTAACTATGCAAATAACTCCAGTGACTGCAAAGCAAACTTCTTAGCATTTTCAGTGGGTGCCTCCAAGGCTTCTGTGTTCTCAGAGAAGAAACTGCACCAGCAGAAAAGTACCTTATCCTTCTTAACTGTCTTTAGTTCAGGTTGGGGCTTCTGTGGTCACACCTTGAAGAAAGAGGTACTTTACTAAGTTAGCAGAGGTAGCATGTTTAAAAGAAAAATTATAAGGCAGAACATTGCCGGGAACAGTTCTGGGACATTTTCGTGGAAACTCAGAGAGATATTTGGGCAGTTGTGTCACACACAGAAGGAGAGACCCCAGACTGCCGCATCAGTACTTTAAGGGCCTGATTCAGTCTTTCTGGCTGATGCTGATGGTGTTTACTCTCTCTGTCACCATGAAAATCAGTGGGATTTTCCTCAAAGCCTCTAACTGTGAACTAGAGATAACTGTATTGACCTGGGACCACAGGATGAGGCTGAAAGCAAGGTCAAGATGAGAGGGACCACACTGGGAATGCAGTTCTGTATGGATATTGTCTTCCTAGTGGAGGAAGGCTCGCCGCCTTTCCCTGTAGTGCCTGAGTATCTGCAGTGAGAGGTTGACCATGGATGGATGGATAGAAAGATTGCATGTGGACGATTATATGCAGAAAATGAGCTTCATTTCCTACCAGCTTGCACCTTGCAATATCTGTTTTGTATCAAAACAAAGGCAATGGGTAACGCCATGTAATTCAGCTACAGCACGTCAGCTTTGTACAAGCAATTCCCTATCACCAAGCCTTCTCTTACGCTTCCAGACAGCATCTGGGGATTGACTATGTCAGTTTAAAGAAAAGCAACGTAGCATACCCTGATCTGCTCGTCCTGTGCTTCTCTGACCTTTGCCAGCACCCGAGCTTCCAGGTTCCAACATAAAGTGGCTGGAGGCAAAGCTTTTTCAAAGATGGGATCTCTTCCCCACTAGTGTTCACTGCCCTTAGATAGTCCCCTCATGTTTGCTGAGCTGCCAGGGCTGCCCGTTCCCTCGGGATTTTGCTTGTAGGTGCCGGAAGCTGCAACACTTCACTGGAATGTGCCCGCTGGTGAGATCCCCGTGGCAGCGTTAGAGTGAGATGCATTTTGATCTTTGAAACCATTTGATCCACTTCATAAATATATAGTAAGAAAGCAGGTCTGGCAGATTTTCTCATTCTGAGTACCTCCGGCAAGGCAGTATGGAGTAAGTGGCTAATGGTAGTGGATTTGTCATCCATTGCGGTGTTGAGCAGCCTTGCTCTACGTTGGGGAGCTGAAGTCTTGAGAGGGATTTTTCGTTCCTTGAGTAGCTTTTATCCACAAGACAAATCTGGATTCCAATATGTCTGTTCCATATAAAGTACACTTTTGATTGTGCCGTTCCTCAGTTAAACAACTCATTGTGGGAAAGGGTCAATTTTAATTCATTGATGGGTAGGATTTCTCCTAATCCCTGCATTTTGGAAAATAGAGATATAAAAATAGTTGTTAGCTAATGGTTTAAGAATTGCAGCTTAGTGCTAAGGAATAATAACTTGTAACTCTGAAGAACTAGATTGTCTCAGGCGCACATTAAATCACATTATTTGCTAGTAAATTAATCTTTTTTTTTTTTCCTTTCTTGCAGTTCCGAAGGATACAATCTTACATTGTCCTGGGCTTGAGCAGTAAATGATAAATTTGATCACTGGCTGACTTGTCATCTCCTCGTTGTGACAGAAAAATGGTCGCCTAAAATAAACCCTTTGTTATGCTGCTAAAACTGCCTTTGAATCCAAGATCTGTTGTGATTTTTCAAACACAAACCCAAAAATGTCAGAACCCGACCCTTCATCTGGATTTGTAGGAAACATGGAAAATGGGACTTTTCTGGAGCTGTATCCCACATCCCTTTCAACTTCAGTGGATTCATCACCTGGCCGTTTATCCAACGTCTATGTCTATGTTTCTATATTCCTTAGTCTCTTAGCTTTTCTCCTTTTGCTATTGATCATTGCACTTCAGAGGCTGAAAAACATAATTTCTTCCAGTTCTTCCTACCCAGAATATAATAGTGATGCTGGAAGTTCTTTCACTAATTTAGAGGTTTGCAGTATTTCTTCCCAGCACTCTGCTCTCTCAAACCTTTCTTCGTGAAACTAAATGAAAGGAAACGCACAGGGAATGGAAGAGCTTTGTCTAGTTTCTTGGGCAGGTAGTGCATGCAACATTTGCCTTAGAAGACTATTATGAAGAGATGGCTTTTAAGGTTTCCTTAGAGGTTTTTTCCTTTCCTTTTCTAGTCTTCATTTTCCCTTTTGCTAATGTTCCCTTTTTATTTTGGACAATGAATAATGACACTTGATCATCGTTTCATGCCTGTAATAGTGATGCTGTCCTTTTCTCACACATACACGATGTTCATTAAGAGTATTCCTGCCAAATTGTAATATGGTTCTAACTGGATGTGTCATTTTTCTGCTCTAGTTGTGACCTCTTCCCTAGTTTTCCCCCAGTAATATGCTGACTACTTTTCTTTTTCCTTTTTTAATTAGATAAGGACTTCTGAATGAAATCCCTATTACAAAAGTATCAAAAATCAGCTTAAATTATAAATATAGTCCTTGGGACAATTTAAAGTTGTTGGTATTGTTTCTGTTTCAATTTTCATGTCTTTTCCAGTATTTATTGATGTTTATAAAACACAACTAAAATCCATTTCCTGAAGAATGTTACTTTCGTTTATTTGTACTCCCAACACGTTCTGTATAACGTCTCTGTATTTCAGTTTTTGAATCTCTTTGGTTAACTTAGTAAAGTGACTACAATAACGATGCTCACTGCTGAATGTGTGGAGGTATTTTTGGACCCGGTTGCTTCTAATTTGCCTGATGACTTGTTCCTCCAGGGGGCAGCTTTTGCTGCTGAATCATACAGAGCACACAACTCCTTTGCACCCTTCGCTCATCCTGAAGCTTATTCTTGATGGATACCAGTACAAACCAGTGGTTTCTTGTAAAAGATCTGTGTACAGCAACCATAGCTGGCAACTGAATAGCTCCTATACCTGTCCTTGAAGCACAAGATGTTTGCACTCATGTAAGCAGGGCCAGAGGGGACAGGAATTGGTTATAGTGGTGAGGACTTTCTGGGCCAGATTTTGTCCTGTAATTTCACAAATGCACACTGGGGTGGAGGGGGGACATGAGGATCTGCGTGATGGCCAGGCAGACCTGTGCTCTGACACTCAGGAGGCACAAAGTGTACCTGCAGAGGGTAGGAAGAGATGGGAAGGAAACAGGCAGTGGCTCTGGCCCTTTTCTCCATCAGCATAAGGAGAGGCCGGAGATGAGGGGGTGAGAAATGGATGGTCCTTCACAGTCTCACTCCTCTTTGCAATGCCAATAGTCTGGGTTATGATTTCCCCCTGCCCAAAATGTAACCCAGCACTCAAATTCTGCAATAAAATAATTAGCAACATTGTGAACAGCATCCTGTGGTTAGCTGGGAACTAAATCAAGCCAAACGATCAAAGAAATTATTTGAAATGCCAAGCGTGACCTGCTAGGATTGCAGCCCCACACTGTGCGGTGTGATTCCTTGCTGTCCTGGCTGCACCATGTGAGCACAGCCCAGTCCTGCCACTCAAGTCCGTTCAAATTTTCCTCTCGTGGCAGGATCCAAGTCACTGGAGAGACCCAAGGAAGGGTATGGAAATGTCACTGCGTTTCTGTTGCTGGCATAGCTGCCTGCGTAGCTCCGGGCGATGGGCCCATCTCGGCAGGAGCGACTGCTCTCCCCACGCACGGCGCTCCTGCCCAGCAGGGCGAAGGGTTAGGGAGCTGCAGAAGACCTCCCGACCAGATTTGTTACAAATACCCTCCCGCCGAGCTGTCAATGCGGTCATCAACAAGACACATTCTGCCATTAACTACACCGGCTTTAAAAGAGAAATGTGGAAAGCCCGGTATAAACATAATTGTTAGAAACGCAGCTGTTCAGTGCCAGACAACATACAGACGATGCTGGAGTTGGTGTTTTCAATTTTTAAAAGTGAACCTATGGTATGGTAAGTGGTAATGACTTATGGTGGTGATTAGCTCCTCACAAAGCTCAAAGAACTTGCTGACTAATAAAGAACTTAAGCCTGCACATTCTCTGAGCCAAGCTGGTTTTATGAATATATTTAGTCTCTGGAATATTTTATTCATCTAGACAAAAATTTCATGTAAGTCACTTTTCACTGTAATTGATGAGAGGCCTTGGGAAAAGAGTTAACTATTTAAAAGGGATCAGGAAACATTATTTCCTTTCTGAAAGCTCTTCCAAATCCCAAACCTGTAACAGAATATATTTGTGTTTGACAGATAGGTAGATAAAAAGAAATGAACAGTAAATCAAGACGGAGCAACTGTTCAACTATCTTCTCTTACCTACAAAGTTGTAAATTTGTTGCTTCCTTTGCTGCAGATGCAGGAATTTAATCAAAACCAGAGATGAGACCACAGGTTGAGATGGGTATTTGTTTCCAGCGATATGTTTCCTGTTACCAGCTTATGCTTGCGGATATAGAGACATTTAGTATTAAATACAGACTGTTGAAAATGCATTGACTTTGTTCAATGAGCTGTTGTCAAGCTTCACAAGAGCAAAAAGTATTTTTCAGACTGCACAAAGTAGCAAAGGTAACTGAAACCACACATTTGATTTTGCGTTGTACTTTACTAGATGCTATTATTTTTTTTTCCACTCTGCAGTGACATATGGGACTATATACAGTCATCACGATTTCAGCTGAGTTGCACCTGTTCTCGTCAGGACAGATTTGAGTAAAAACAAGTTGGATCCAACAGAATAGCATCAGGAGAAGCCACAGGCAAAAAGCACCATGGCATTTTCGAGGATTACTGAGTACTAGTCCTTCAAGAAAAAAAGAAAAAAAGAAAAAAAACCCAACTTGAGAACCTGAGCTTGAGTTAACTTCAGCTAGAGTTGCAGGGATTTTCCACCATTGTAAATTGAAAAATGAATTAGATTCTTCATTTTCATCAAATTTCTGTGGTTTCTGTCTCTCCCTCTCTCTGTCTCTCCTTCTTTCTGTCACTCACAAACCAAACAGACCTGGACAGGCTGGAGAAGTCGGCAGAGAGGAATCGCATGATGTTCAGCACGGGAGAATGCAAAGTCCCGCACCTGGGGAGGAATAACCCCAGGCACTGGGACAAGGTGGGGGCTGATCAGCTGCAAAACAGCTCTGCAGGGAAGGACCTGGGGGTCCTGGTGGACAACAAGTTGACCATGGGTCACTAACACACTCTTGCTGCAAAGGAGGCCAAGAGCATCCTGAGCTGCGTTAGGAGAAGCGGTGCCAGCAGGTTGGGGAAGGTTATCCCTCCCCCTGTTCTGCACCAGTGGGACACCTGGATTGCTGTATCCAGTTCTAGACCCCCCAGTAGAGGAGAGATGTGGAGCTACTGGAGTGAGTGCAGTGCAGAGCTACTAAGATGATTAAGGGAGTGGAGCATCCCTCATATGAGGAGAGGCTGAGGAGCTGGGACTGTTTAGTCTAGAGAAGGCTTGGGAGGATCTCCTCAATGTATGTAAATACCTCATGGGAGAGAGGAAGAAGAGGGAGCCAGGCTCTTCTCAGTGGTGCCCCGTGACAGGACAAGAAGCAATGGGCACAAACTGAAACACATGAAATTCCATCTGAACACAATAAAACATTTTACTGTGAGGGTGGTCAAACACAGGCACAGGTTGCCCAGAGAGGCTGTGGAGTCTCCATGTGTTGACCTGGGCAACCTGCCTACAGCTGGCCCTGCTTTGGGCAGGAGGGCTGGACCAGATGATCCTCAGAGGTCCCCTATCCATGCTGTGATTCTGTGATTCATGTCAGTGCAAAAACTCAGCAGCTTCTAGCTCGCTGCCTCCTCCTGATGTGTTTTCTCATATCTGGAGCTGAGTAAACAATATCTTTACTAGGGGGTGATTTGTTCAATAACTTGTTACTAAAGAGCTGCTCTGTTCTTCCTCCTGCCTGCAGCCACGCACTTTCCCAGCTTTTCCACTGCCTTTTTGTGGAGTGGGTTCACATCTCACAGTCAGCTTTTGCCCTGGACCCCTATTGTTTTTACTAAGCCCTCTGACTGCAACAGTGCCATTAGCTTCAGTAATATATGACTCCAAGACTGCACGGCTTCAGGTAGTTGCAAAGTATACCTGGAAATTGATAGAAAGAAAAATACCAATAAAGCATGGATAAGGAAAGAACAGAAGGAGTTTCTGGATTACACAGAAAAAATATTTTGCCTTAGTTCAACAAATACAGTCCATTTAAGAGTATTTAATCAAAGAGTACCTGGTGAAGGCCGTAGCCGCCTCTGTATCTAAGATTAGACTCTCCAGCATTGCTGGCCACCCTGGCCCTAGTGGCAGGTTAACTCATCACGTTCGTCTATCCTCAACGTTACTGAATTATTCCCATTCCCTTCTTGAAACAGTGTCATGCTCTTCACTCAGCAACTCTTTCAACTCTGTGGAGAGTTTATCTAATTGAATTAATTTTCTTTCAGCCCTTCTCTGTCTGCCAGTTCACCTGAAAGGTTTGTCTCTGTAAATTTAAAGTCTTGTCTGTTTTTCCTACAAATATCTTTTAACTTGGGAACAATTCTTACTCCTCTTCCATGCAGCTTGTTCGCCCTCCTCTTTCACTCTCTAACCCTGTGGTACTCTGGCAAGGCTGAATCCCCATGGAGCATCGTGCTCCGCTGTACTTGAGCTTTTTTCCTTTAGAGTCTTTTTTTTTTTGTGAGATCACTGGGAAAGACATCTGCGTGGGAAGGTTATTTACAAAGTCCATATACCTCCCATTCTTCTTGACGGGACCATTTTCACTGCATCTGTTATGGTTGTCTAAGGAAACATTGTGATTTACAGGCCAGCTGCTTCCCCAGCTGAATGGCCTTTTCACGTCCGCAGTCCCTCGTACGCTCCCAAAGACAATGGCCCCACTCTGTGGCTGCAGCAGAGGATTACATGCCCCAAATTCAGGGTGCAAAAGTAGCCTGAAGAAGTCCTTTTTTTTCTCCAAGAAATGTGGGCTTGGTCTTGCTTATGCCTTTGGCATAACATAGAGCAGCCCTCAAGCTGCTTTACACTAAATGAACTATGTGATGCCAGCCAGTCTGACGTGCAAACGGGACCCACCTGCAATCACAGCCCCACTCTCACATCATAGCTCCATAAAACTCCTGGCTCTGTCAGACCACCCCTAAGTGGGGTGGCCCAAACTGGCCAAGATGCTGTCCTGGGCTGGGGCTTGGCCAGGGACGCTTTGCTGATGCTACAGGAAGATGTTTTCATGGCTCCTCCCAGCACTGGAGATAAAAAGCAGTATCAGCATCCTGTGTATTTGCTTTCAAAGCCAGGTAATCATGGTAATCACCACCCAGGTGACAGCAAGCAGGACCTGGTGAGATAAGCTATTTTTCACTTCTTGGGTGTTTTTCTTTGATCTAAATCAGTGGGAGCAGA